CCCCTGTAGAAGCGAACGACCAAACGACTAGAGCGCCCTTCTCAATGGCGGTTGTGTCTAGGATGGGCGATAATACTCTCAAGTAAGTAGGGGTGGACCGCATGATTTGATTGTAGAGCTGTACTTATTCGATGCTGCTTATTTATTTTGATCGGGAAACAAATATCACAATGGCCTTCTTCTTTTCGGTTTGAAAACATACTTTCAAAAAAATATTTTTCGACCTTAATTGTGATGAACTTATAAGTACTGAGTTTGTGAGCATGGTGGAAAACTTGTTTGCTCACTTACATCTCCATAGTTAATTATATAATTTTGTTTACAAAATAGCCTCAGCAGCTGTTATGCCAGTAACAATGGCCTCTACTCTTTAAACAATGATTTATGAGATCCAGTTTTTCCTGACGACTTTTCATGAATCTCTAGAAGCAAGCTGACGATGGTATCGGGAAGAAAGATTTTCCCGAGAAACTTTTGTATTACAAAAAGGTTTCCTCTGACACATTTGATATGTAGAATGCTCTATGATCGATGTCGCCTAATGTGCTGTTTGGTGTTCCCTGAGTGAATGCTGCGGGGGAGAGATCAGCTGCTCCACCAGCCAGGGCTCCTCCCTTCCGCCTTACCAGCTGCCATTCGCTTCCCTTTAGCCCCGTGTCCCAAATGTCAACCGCTTTTCTCTGGTTTTTCTATTCTGAGAGAATACGTCTTCTTATATAAACTTCTTGATGGCTTTGAATTCTTCACGTATTCGGGAATCCTCTTGTTTAGAATGAATGATTTCTGTGGTCATTCGCCACGGCTTTGAAAGGCTTCACAATTTCCTCTACCAGTTTTCTTTGCTACTGACCCTATAGATTTCAAACCTAATTTCAGAATGGGAGATCTCGCAGCTGCATTTGCTCAAGCCGAACTCACCCCAAGTGTTATAGACAATGCCCCCAAGCAGAAGTTGCACGTAAGTACCGATCCAGTACGAATAGGATTCTCCAAACCTAACCTATGCCTTACAGCTAACTTGGGATGGTATCCAAGTCGAACCGGGAATGACAATGTCAACGCGGAATCTGAAAAACGCCCCTCGCTTTCATCTTCCTGGAGCAGATCCGGAAAGTACATTCTCGCTGTTAATGATTGGTTAGTTTAACACGATTACTTATCGAAGAAAAAAAAAGCAAAGGAAAATAGCAATGGTCATTGTTCACGGGGTACTCCTCTGTGCTGGGGCAAAACCATGCTGATGCATTCCGCTCGTCCTGACGTCAAACACGGGGGATGTCGGGTAGTGGGTGAGAGGTTGGGGTAGGCAGGGAAGGGAGGGAGGGGATGGGTGGAGTAGTAAACAGCCATTTTTCATATCAGAGCATATATGGCTTTCACTGTGATCTCTTTAAAAACTTCAGTAAGGAATGCTCTGACAGCTCGTTCAACGATATCAGAAAGAAGCCCTGATGATTCGAGAGTCTCCTGGTGATCCTCTTTTCGACACTGAGGAGCGCTACTGCACTGATTTTTTGCAATGGAGTTCGTGAACCGATGGCCCGTGGTTATGGCCTCAAGCAACAGCCGTATGATCGAGAGACTAATATTTCTTGCTTGCCTCCCAAGGAACTAAACCCTTCAANGACCATCAACGACCACAGGCCACCCACCTAGACACCGCATAGGCTTACCTCTAACAATTCCGCTAACTTTGAAATCTTGCCTACGCAATAAACAGCCCTTCTCTTTTTCAAATCCCGACAAGCAGAGGCATTCCGCTGACATTTTCCAATCTTCTGAGCTGTAACAAATAACGTGAAACAGGCCGACAGATGGGGGTGGACAACATATGCAGATCTGGACATTAGAATAGAAAACCTGCCATCATACTGACAATGAGGAGCGTTGTGAGTGTAAGGACAATATTGTCGGGCTGAGGTTTTTCCTAGCTTTAATGGTGTCGAGCAGTGCTACATCAAAGCAAGCTTTTTAGCCGCTTCTTTTCAGATCCCGACAATCTCTCGAGGAAAAATCCATCAGTCGCGGAATGGTTACACTGGCTGGTGGTAAATATCCCGGCCAGCAATGTTCTCGAGGGCATCAATGGAGGTCAGTACACATGTCAAAAGGGATTGCTTTTCTGGGTGATCACTCATTGTGACTCGCAGGGGAGATTAGACATTAACTGGTTTTTCGAAAACCTTCCCGAACCGTTGGATAGCTAGTTCATTCGAGAGCGGGAGAGCTTTCGGTTATACCAGAATTCTCGGTGGTGATGATAGTTGAGCATAATTTCATCAAAGTTGCTATCATCCACGATCGAAGAAATCGAGAAAATTCATTCAGAATGAGCTTTCCCGCCTGTTATGCTCTCTGGGACAGGGTCCGAAAAGTTCCCACTTGCTCTTACACGGGGGAGTCTAGGTTGTAACGCAAAGCAACTGCTGCCTTTCGCAACATTCGCCTACTGTTGTATTTCTTACAACTTCTCTGGGGATCTCTGATGTCCACCCTAAACTTCTCAGACGAGCTTAAACTATAATCAGCCGTCGCAAAAAGGTTTGGGGCGAACATGCGATCTACACTTTCAGGTAAGGTACACATCAGAAAAAACTGAGCCAGACTGGGTAAAATGTTTTATTCATAAAATGCTTAAAAATGTGGTGAAGGAAAGGGTGATGCAAGGGATAAAGAACGCGGTGCCAGGAAGGAATAAGTATGGGTTCGTGTCCCGCCTGAAGCCGAAGTTTTGCTTACAACTCGCAAGCCTTGTGAAACTTTCGGATCGCATACTGCGGCGAAATAACAGTAGTTAACAAAACCATTGAGTCAAAAGATCTTCCGTTTCTATATTTCTATATTTCCTTATTGCTTCTATCTATCTCTTATTATTATCATTATTTATTACCAATTACTTTAAAAAAACACATTACTGTCATACTTGACGATACATGATTCTTGACATAGTGGGAGCCTATAATTTGGACAATTCGTTAGGTTATAGACCTTTTGAATCCGAATTAAACAGCTGCAAGGAGTACTGTAATCGCTACCTAGCTGAATACTTTGTTTACCAATTAATGCTGAGTATATGATTTGGACAATTCGTTAGTATTTAGACCTTTTAAATCTGAATGAAACAGCTACAAGGAGTACCGTAGTCGATTGCCTGGTAAATAATTTGTTTATCAGTTAATGTTAATCTTCAAACTCTAACAAACATCTAGCAAAATTGTCGTGCTTAAAAACTTTCGAGTCCACTATTAGTATGATTCTCAGGACAACATCAAATGCCCTACGGTTCTCCAGCTCCTCAACCGCGAACAGACATACATAGATATGTTATACTGATGTGGGAGCATCAGGGAAGGTGAGACTAGCTTACAACTTTGGATCCTATAACCATCACATGCTCAAATTGCTGACACCCATCTTGATTTGTGTTGAGGGTAGAAACCCTTCCATTGAATTCTGCTCCCCGAATGGGGAAATAAGAATCACCTCTGAATCAGAACCTACACAAAACTATTGTTGATAGATATCGCCTTACTTTCAGGCGTATCAACGTTCCCAAGCCATCGACTCGGGCGAAATTCAATGTAAAGCAATTCATAGAAAAGCACAAATTGGGTAAGCAACACATTGCACATTACGAGTTGATTTAAACTCACAGCAGACTGTATGTACGACTATTACTTGAAAATCCTCCCACTCCGATTTTTTGGAGGAAAATCACAAAGGGAATACCCTAGACTTTGAATCCTAATCGTACCTGCATAAGGCCCCTTCAGCTTCCTAGCCATCATCTACCTTTGTACCTTTGTGGTGTGCTATTCCTGTGCACTGAAGAACTGGTCAACAGGCGTCTCCGTTCTCGCTGTGCGTGGTGAATTAGTTTCACGACTGAATTGTAATGGCGCTACTTGACCCATGCGTGTTCTAGCGTTGAGAGTAAAAACCATGCAGCCCCATGCAAGAACACATAAAATGAACCCTTCCCTTTTCATGCCCTTCCATCATTTTTACATTAACCAGTTGATATGAATTCGAACAAAAGAGAAAAAAANAAAAAAACTGAAAAAAGCCTAACTGCCGAATGTTAGTTCGCCCAAGCAAGTTACAATATTCCTTCTTCTAAGAGTCTATTCAGCCATGAGAGCAACCCATCCCATCACCACCTTCGTTTTCTTCATCATCACACTTGAAAGCGGGACCGTTTTCCCAGTGTATTGACGCCATTTTTTCCGATTACTTGGTCGAGATGAAGGCCAACGAACTTCAAGCTCTCATACAAGATGTCAGGAAAGAGTTGCTTTTGATTCCACTTACACTGTTTCCCTGTAAAATCGAAGCCGAGCTCGACGTTACAGACAATGTTTTTGTTCGCGGACATTAGGGTAGGACATAGCCGTACCATAAAGACGAGCTTCACATATTTTATGGCAACAAAGCTTCCTCCGAAACGCTCCATTATTGTATTGTTGTAAATTCGGTTTCAATACGAGGTTTCAACAGTCATCACAGCATTTTCGTTTCCGTTTTCACGCAGCATGCTCCAGTTTTCTGGCAAGGGGGTATCTCACGTTCACCCAACGATTCTCATGTTGTCTTTCTAGCAATACACCAGTCTCATGGATTGCATTGATGGTGTTGCAACCGAAGATGAAACTTCTGTAGTTGGTGGGAGGCTGAACATCGACAGAAAAAATTATAAAGGATAAAGTTCTTGGAGTTAATCAATTCCGTCTGAAGGATGCGCTCCCGCACTCGACTTCCTTCAGAATCGTAGTGGCGTAATGAGTGGGTATGTAGCCTATACAATGACTTGACGTGGCCAGCCGATGTACAAGTCAGTGCTTTTATCCTCCCAGACGAGGCTAGTACCTATTCACCGACGCCGGGGGAATGGAAGGCTTGGTTGGCCTAGGCGGGCATCGATCCGGGATTCGAACCCCTGACCGTGCGTGTGATATAGTGCTCCACTAGCCACTACACCACCTCCGCCCAACATCGACAATACCAATATCAACTTATTTCAGGTGATCCAATCGCAGGGAACTTCTTCTTGTGCCAACACGAGTGATTATCATTTAAAGATCATCATCCATCAATTACTTGATAATAACGCATAGAAACCTGAACCTGTCCATTTTCTCTTTGCAATTTTGTCCTTACCAATGACTGCCTTATTGTTTTTGAATAAAGTATTACTCATAAAAAGTGTTCAGCTTGTGTGACTTAATAATTGACGTGGTTTCCAGGCTTACGCGACCGCATGCTCGCCTGATAAACTGCCCAACCTATCCATTACATTCAAGGAGCAGTCGTTTTAAATTCTTTGGCGCCTTCGAAATGCTTTTTGTGTTGGAATCATTCTATCACTTTGCGCAACCAATTGCTTTGCGTGAATTCACACACAAAGGAGTTGCGTGATTCCCAGCTGGAAGATGTTCGACGCTTGCCAGTTCGGACAATTGGGAACGCAAAGGCCGACTTTGTAAAGAAGTTTTCATTCAGGACATTTAATTCACAGAGAAAGACAAACTGTCGCGGATGCGACGGAGCCCATGAGCGACCGGAGGTTGAGCGATTTGAGTGAGGTCGGAGGTTAGGTAGGAAACGAGCGATGTTATTCGTGGGGAGAGGTGGAAGGGATATGTCTCCCCCTGAGTCTGGACAACGGAACGCCAGCATAAGCCCAACCGTCGATCCCTCACCATACCCGCTAGGAAGTACGGTCACGTCAACACACTGCGAAACGATATTGCCAGAAAGTAGCAGGATTCTCCAAGGGCAATAGCAGTTTGGAGTAGCTGGGGCAGCGCCCCTTGGACTATCAATTAGAAGAGGAACGATAGAGTGATGCGAGCCTATACTATAGCATCATTATTCTTTTTGTGTGTTCGTACTACACACTGTATCCTTTGGTTAGATAACTTGTATGTATTTATATTGTGTATTTATATCTCAACATGTCGTGAGCCCTATCCATAGTATGGCAAACCATATTCTCCACTCGTGTATGTTACCGAGGGAGTTAGGTCCGGCTAATGTAAATAGGGCCAATAGTGGGGGCGAGGTGGACAAGAGGTCGTGGCGCCGTTCCTGCAAGACTCCTGTCATGGGGCAGGAAGTCACCAAGCAGCACGTGGTCTAACGTGGAGCTCGGCTTCTCGTAACCCGGGTTCCTCGTGGCCCCAGGAGTTCTAATCTACCCATCGTGTAAGGGCGCATACTGGATGTTGAGCAATCGATGAGCTTGTAGCTAAGGGCCGATCGTCTTTACCTGGTAAACAGATCACGATACGAACGCGTCCAGGCGTTAAAGCTTTAACAGCTACGTAGATTACCACTTCTGATACAAACTGGGTAATTCACTTTCATTTCCGTTTCCAGAAAACAAGCTCATACATTTCAACAAAACACCAGAAATGCGAAAAAGCCATTGCACTCGTTACACAGAGTAAGACCACTACACTGTTCTAAGAAAAGAATGTGATTGTAAACTCCAATTATTAATTATTAAACAATCACATAAAGCCGTTAATCGTTATCACAGTTAGACCCAAGTATATGAAGAAAAATTAAATACAGTCAGTATGAGACCCAAATCAATTGACCAACCAATCATTTCGTCATCCGTCAGACTGTATGCGGTCAGTTTCTTCACCGTCAAGCTCATTATCAGGACAATCTGCCGGTACACAAGCCTCAGCGGAACTGATATAAAACTGGAACAAAACTTTTTTCAATTTTGTTTCATGCATAAATAAATATAAGATGACACATTTTTAACTGATGCCAGCTTTATTGAGGCAAAAGGGCAGTGCCAATTAGCGCCTCTAGCACAAATACACTCCATCAATCAAACCGGCGTTCAATACCCGCTTAGCCACCAGAAAATTCCATCCGCCTAAAATATAGTAAACGCTTCTCGTCTGCTTGGAAAATGGCACCGACTCGAACACTAGGTGGTCCCTACGAGTAAAAGAGTAGACTAAATACGCATTCACGACACTAGAACTTAAATCAAAAGTCGGATGCGTGGATGCCCCTCAGGACTTATTCTTAATACAACAGTCAATTTTTTGCAGTAACATTAGACCCAAGTGAAATTTGATAAATTAGGGAATAGAATTCAGCGCTGAAACTCAAATTGAACGGTCGACAGTTCCTCTGTTTTCAACAAACACTCCAAAGAACCGAGTTACTCCAAAGATCATGCCAACACAGGGTGATTTTCTTGAATATATCATCTGACTTAATCAGATCGCACGAAAACTGAGAACTTTGACTCAGAAGGCAGGACTCACGTGCGACTAAGCAGCAGTAAGAGGGAAGTGTTCTTCAGGGGACATAAGACCACAAAGATGCCAAAATCCTCACTATCCTTACTAAGTAAGTACTTTCCACATAAGTTCATAACTCAACTTAACGAAGACGTGCAGACCAGAAAAAAGATGAACGAAGTGAGCAAGGTCTTATGCGTGCTGGACATGCGTGAACTTAGCGAACCTCCGCCCACGATGGGCGGGGCGTGCGTTGAAATGGAAGATACTTTTCAAAAATGAGTATAACTCTGTTCAGAAAAATTCTAGGATGCGGGGAAAAAGTGGTAAGATGTATTAGAACAAATAAGGTCAAATCCCAGAAGCGGGTGGGGTTGACACTAAAGTGGGCGGGGCTAACATCAAAATTTTGTAGCTTTGTTCAAGAACGTCCTGGGATGCGGGAGAAAAGTGGTTATAGGTAGCCCGAATGTGGGCAGGGTTGGCACTAAAGTGGGCCTCGGTAAAAAAAATTACGACTGTTCAGAAAAGTTCTAGAAAGCGGGAAAAA